CTGGGGACCTGACTGGCGGGGATTTGGGAGCGTAAGGTCTGGTTCTCATGGCGGACAGCTTGGACTGTAAGCGTCAGCGCTTCGACCTTCTGGGCGAGGGCCAAGACGTAAGTGGTTGGTTCCGCTGGATCCATAACTTTTTTAAAGGTTCGATTATTCTGTCATACGCCGTCCTTGGAAAGGGTACGGTGGATCTCAGCTGCGGGTCTAACTGTTGGTTTAGGCGGTTGTCAGGCTTAATCCCAGGCGGCCCTCTCAATCAAAGGCGGAGAGTTAGGGATTTAGACATCATGATAAACATAAATAACCAAATAACAGGAGGCGGAGTTGCAGCAGGAAAGTTAAGTTGTATCCCACGGCTAGGCAATCACAACTAGGATTTGTAATGTAACTGGATAAGGCAGTCTCTATGTTTAAGCAGTATAGGCAATTCAATTCAACAGGACAGGTATTTGTATTGAATTAGTGAGAGTTGATACTGAGAGGCTCCACTAGGTGGCAGCGTAACGAATCCAATACAAGGCCACAATAGTCTTTAAGCAGATACTTGCGGTTTGGTTGTGAAGCAGTAGCTCGGTTGAAGAGAAGTCCAGAGGAGGCAGGCTGCTGGGGGAAGAGTTGGGGTCCGGTTCGCGTGGTCCCAAGGTACGTGGAGAGGTTCCTGGGGTGTTTGGGCAATGATCCCAATAATCGAACACCCTAGAGCGTTCACAGTAGGTTTAAATAGCCCGCGGCCGTGACGTCACCAGGCCGCGGGGCGTTTCCGCATTCCAGCGTGGAACGCATCATACTTCCTGTCATGGGGGAGGAAGCCTGTGGCGGTCACACCGGCCGGTGCGTTCCAGCGTGGAACGCAGCCGGCGAGTGCCGCGAACCGGAGGAACATCACATTCTAGCCGACCTGTGACAATGAGACTGCCACAGGTCGGCTCAGTAGATCGGGAGGGGAGGGGAACCCAACCGTCCCCCCTCCCCGCTCCGATCCGCCAGCGCTGACTGGCGGAACGGACAGGGGAGGGGGCGGGTACAGCTGGCTCTGCCTTTAGATAGGCAGAGCCAGCTGTCAGTCACGCAGCTGGGCGGATCCCGGCACAATTGTCGGGATCCGCTTCAGCTGCAGCGTCTCAGTATACCGCGAGCTACAGTTCGCGGTATACTGAGCCTAGGGTGACGGGAGGATGCTAGTTTGTGTCCTCCCGTTACCCTAAGGAGAACTATGGGGAAAAGACTTAACCCCATAGTTCTCCTTTAAATCTTTGTACAAAGATTTAACTATATCTTTCCAGTGTGGTGACCCTCTACTTTCTCAAGTTTGACATGCACAGTGCCATCCGTGATTAGCACTGTGAGCATCACATTTGTTATTGGTCTCAGATGCTGTAAGGAGTGCAGGGGATATATCTGTACACTATATCCTTTAACAGGGCGTAGACATATGGCCTGCATGCATAACATGGTTTCTTCAGAGATGGGGTGAGATAGACTACTGCAGCTCTGTCCTCTCGTGACCCTTAAAGGAGAACTATGGGCTAAGTGTTTTTCCCCATAGTTCTCTTTAGGGTCACGGGAGGACATATACTAGCCTCCTGCCGTGACCCAAAGCTCAGTATAGCCCACGATAAACTGACACCGCCGTAGCCGGTACGGATCCCGACAATACTGTTGCGATCCACCCAGCTGTGCAAGTGACAGCTGGCTCTGCCTATGTAGAGGCAGAGCCAGCTTTGCCCACCCCCTGCCGCATTCGTTCCTCCACTCGGCGCTGGAGGATTGGCGAGGGGAGGGAATCCCTGCGGTGAGCGTTGACTGACTGCAGGGAGACGATCGGGAAGTGAGCAGATTGGTGCATGTGATAGCAATTAAAGTAAAGTAAAAAAAAAAACAAATAACAGTTTTTAAAATTTTAATTACATAAAATTAATCTAAAAATAATGAAAACATTTTTTTTAAAGTCCCCGCAAAGCACCCACGTCGCCACTTAAACGCGCGTCGGGTGCACCTATGTATGAAAGCGACGAACGCGCTACACATGTTGGGTTTTGCCGTGCACGCCGGAGTGAGACCAATAATTCTTGGGCCAGTATTTTTGGGTATCTCTAAACTGATGACCTGTGGGGGCTTTTAAAGCGTCATCTATAAACTTTCTGGGGTACTGAAGTTTGTCGCCGTTTCACAGACGCACACAATTTTTAACCTGGGCATGTTTGGTATCTATTTACTCGTTTGTAACCTCATCTTTTATATTTTATTTTTAAAAATTGGCATTGTTTTGTGTTTTGGGGCATTTCATTTTTCACTAAATTTGGGGGTTTGATAAGGAGTTGCGGTAATATCGTGCAACATAAAAATTTGCAACTGCCACCACTTTATTCTATAGGCTCTTGGCTTTCAGAAAATATATAATGTTTGGGGGTTTTAAGTAATTTTCAGGCCTAAAATGTGGAATATAACATGGGTGCAAAAAAATGAAAAAAAGGCCTCAGTCATGAAGGGCTTAAGAGAACTATAGGATAAAAAGTTTACCCCCATAGTTCCCTTTTAATGCATTTAAACGCAAGACGCATCTATTTGCTCAAATCTCATTGGCTATTTTATAATAGACTGTTTCAATATCAGACATACCCAACTCTGCCGGACGCTCCGGGAGTCTCCCGCTATTAGAGAGCGGCTCCCGGCCGCCTGGGAGAGAAACACTTTCTCCCGTAGAGGTTTACTCTGCTCGATCGAGCAGACTAAACCTTTCCCTGCTCTATTTTTTTTCTTCTGATATCGGAGCCGCCGGCCACTGTCAGTCAGAAAATAAAAAAAAAACAGCATGGGAATGCATAGCTAGATTCCTATTGGCTATTTCACTTTGCAATAGCCAATAGCAAACTAGCTATTGCACCCGCCCACTGATGCTGTCAGTCAGCAGAGGGGGACCTGAAGTTCTCCATCAGGTTCTCCATTCCTATGCTGAGTTTTTTTTTTTTTTCACTCTGGCGGCAGCAGCTGTCAGAATACAAAAAAACTGCATATAGCAAAGAAGCTATTGCTTCCTCTGCTGTCTGGCATCATTTCAGGGGGGCGGAGGGGGGCAGAGGGCACCTCCCTAAAATGAGAAGGGCACTTCCCTAAAATTGCTTCTTTCAGGTTGGGATCCCTGCAATGGTTAAAGGCAGGGCCGGTGCTACCGCTAGGCAAACAAGGCAGCCGCCTAGGGCGCAGCCAGCCCGTCTTCCCCGTGACTCCACGCCACCGAGTGACCACCCGTCTGCACACACTCAGACGGGCACAGTTCCGTGCGGCCACTTGTTAAAGCTGTGCAGCTGCGGCTGCACGGAACTGTGCCCGTCTGAGCGGCTTCTCTATCTAGCTCCAGAGCCCCAGAGAAACCACTCCGCCGCTGCACTGTGGATAGGCGGAGTGATCTCTCTGAAACTTCGTCCGATGAGGCTCCTGCAGAGTCAGTCTCGGGCTGAGCAGGCTGAAGCGCTGTGTGAGGAGGTAAGTGTGCTCTCTCCCTTCCCCCTCCTTCTCTCCCCCAGCCCCCTCCCTCTCTCTCTGCTTGTATTCTCATAGAAAACAAACTATTGCTCAGTCTTATACAATCACTAGAAATTCTTGTGATTGTATAAGACTGAGCAATTACAGTGACCCTCTGCCCCCTCCTGACACCCTCTGCCCCCCTCCTGACACCCTCTGTACCCCTCCTGACACCCTATGTCCCCCCTCCTGACATCATCCGCACCCATCCTGACACCCTCCGCACCCCTCCCGGGACCCTCCACACCTTTCTTGGGACATTCCGCACCCCTCCTGGCACATTCCGCACCCACCTGGCACGTTCCGCGCCCCTCCCGGGACCCTCCTTGCACCTCCGGACACCTTCCGCACCCTTCCTGGCACCTTCCGCACCCCTCCTGGCACATTCCGCACCCACCTGGCACGTTCCGCGCCCCTCCCGGGACCCTCCTTGCACCTCCGGACACCTTCCGCACCCTTCCTGGCACCTTCCGCACCCCTCCTGGCACATTCCGCACCCCTCCCCGACCCTCCGCGCGCCTTCCGGGACCTTCCACGCCCATCCTGTGCTCTTCGGCTCCCCTACTGGGCTCTTCGGCTCCCCTCCTGAGACCCTTCGCTCCCCTTCTGAGACCCTCCACTCCTCTCCTGAGACCTTCTGCACCCTCTTGAGACCTTCTGCTTGAGACATCAGGCTGGCACCCCGGAACGGCAGCACAGGGTATGTAGAAAATTCATATAGTATCATTCTGCATTGATATATCATGTATTCCTGGGATTTATTGTCCTCTATAGCTGCTGGTATTGTTCTGCATTGTTGTATAAGTTTCATGCTTTATTGTTCTATTTTTTTCTACAAATCTGTCTTTAAAAATCAAACTTGGCAGTTTTTTTTTTCATTTTTATGGTGGGGTTTTTTTTTTGGGGGGGGGCA